AGAAATAAATTGATTTTAAGTTAACGATTTGAATTATTTTTAGGTAAGAATGTGGGTGGCACATAGAAAAGTAGAAGTCAATAAGAAGCATGGAGTTGGTGAATGATTAAAATGAAGGAGTGTTTCAGAACATGAAAACTTTTTTTCTCCATTTATGTTACTGTTAGTTTTTGTTACATATAATGTATACTAACATATGTTAATTTATTGCCAGGTTTCCATGGATCTCAATAGTGCCAGTACTGTAGTTCTTCAGGTCTTAACACAGGCCACCAGTCAGGATACTGCTGTTTTAAAACCAGCCGAGGAACAATTGAAACAGTGGGAGACACAGCCAGGTTTCTATTCAGTGTTGTTGGTAAGTACTTCTAAAATGGTTTATTTTTACTTTTAATAAGATGAGACATCATTATTTTCATTATTCAAAAATCTGGATTTGGGTTCAGTGGTAGAACATTTGCTTAGTATATGTGCACCCCTGGATTTGATCTCAGCACTGCAAAAAAATTGAAAAGCTAGGTTTATTGGTAGTTTAATGGAATGAATACAAATGTTTAGCTGTCACAGGTATTACAATTATCACATTAATTTGGGACACAACTTACTGAGGGTCTTTAAAAAATATTTGTTAATAGACCAACATTTGAGATCTTTCCTTTTCATTGCAACTTGATTATAACTTTTAGCAAATGAAGTCATTTGCTTTGGCTATATTCTTTATGGAATATAAATTTTACTTTTTGAAACATTTTGTATAAATAGTTGTACAGTGCATTCCTAAGTCTGCTCAGAAAGCAACCCACTGTGGTTATTTTAGTTTTAGCACATTGATCTAATGTCCTGATTTCACTTTCATATTTTGTTTATATTTCTACCCTAATTAATTTATGTTATTAGTTGTTCAGGTCCTCATACTGCATCTTCAGGCTCAGGTATACTGTGCTTAAGTTTATTTCCTTTTAAAACATCATGATTGGGCTGGGGTTGTGGCTCAGTGACGGAGCGCTTTCCTAGCTTGTGTGAGTCTTTGGGTTTGATTCTCAGCACCACATATAAATAAATAAATAATAAAGGTCCATTAACAACTAAAAAAAAATTAAAATATAAAAAAAATCATTTATTTTCTCTTCTAAAAATTTCATTTCCTTGACACATCTGATTTTTTTTTCTCGGTGTTTTGAAACATAGTACAATAATTTAAGGAGTTTAAAATTTTTGGTTCATTAATCAAAATTATCTCTCAGTGCCAGAGTAGAACTCTTTTTTTTGTGATGACAGTCTTCCCCAATCATTTCTGCTGAAAAATTAAAAATTCTGATTGATGTTTTGAGATTGAGTTTCTGGTTAAGGCAATGAAGCTACCAGCTAGTATTTTTGACTGGGTCACACATTTAGAGCAAAATTGTTTACTATATCATTTAAACTAGAATAAATCATAGCAACTGACATGTATTTTTTTGAATTCTTGCCTAGAACGATTTGGTTTGTTAAATTTGAGAAGATACTTATGGTGATGAGGGGAATTAAGTGTTATTCTGAATATAACATGAAAATTGGCAGTTTGGTTTAATAACAAAAAGGTAAAAAATGGTTTGATTTTAAAAGATACTAAAGAAAATACCTTGTTTACATAACCCTAGCATGTTTAAATTTTGGGCACAGTGTAAATCTTTAGAATATCTCTGAGTATCTTTAACTTTCATATGCTTATTTAAGCGAATATGCTCTATAATTTGCTTATGCATCTTCAGGCCAAAATATGTTTTGGAATTTATTATTTTAATTATTATTAATAAATCAATTTTTGTGATTGAATTCTGGATTGCCAGCATGATAGGCAAGTGCTGTACAACTGAGCTACATGCCTTCTTTATTTTATTTTATTTAAGTATCTAAATCTTTTTTCCCATATTTATTTGTTTTGGGATATTTATGTATTGATAAATTGATAATTTATATGGTGTGTGGTACTTTTATTTATTAAAAATAATGTATGTATTTATATTTGTGTATGTAGACATTTGTATAAGATACTATATATATGGCTTCTACTGAGTATGGTGAAGCATCCCAGGTATGCAGATAGGCTGTGTATGTATATGAATCAATTTCTATTTTATATACATTTATTTGGTTATATATATATTTATAGTTTTATTTATGTGTATTTATGTATGTTTAAATAGTCAGTATTTATCAAATAACACTAGTTTTGCTCAGGTATTCTTAACAGGTTTCAGGCTTATCATGAAAGGCCTAAAAGGATATCTGGAAAACTTCACAGGGCTCATGCTTTGGTGCAAATTGCCTAAATCCTTGTTTTTTGGTACCAGGCATTGAAGTCAGGGGCACTTAACCACTGAGCCATATCCCCAATCCCTTTTTGTATTTTTATTTAGAGATAAGATCTCACTGAATTGCTTAGGGCCTTCCTAAGTTGCTGAGGCTAGGGATCCTCCTGCAATCCTCCTGCCTCAGCCTCTGTAATCACTGGAATTACAGGAGTGTGCCACTGTGCCTGGCTTACCTAGTTCTTCTTGGTTTTTGTTTTTACTACATTGAATTTTTCTTCTTAGCGGGATAGGAATTAGATTTCTTGTAGAAGAAATAGATTACAATAGCTTAAAAAGCTGTCATAGGGCTGGGACTGTAGCTCACGGGCAGAGTGTTTGCCTAGCATGTGTGAGGCATAGGGTTTGATTCATAGCACCACATTAAAAAAAAAAAAAAAAAAAAAATATATATATATATATATATATATATATATATATGTGAATGCTGTCCATTAACAACTACAAACATGACAGTTTTTTTTAAATCATTTTTTTCTCCTTTGCACATTAAATCTGTATTTGTCCTAGCTGTTCATTCTAATCTGTAGATTCCCAAACTTCTATACCTTATCTCAGGTTTGTGTTGTAGTCCAGTTATTTAAAGTACTTGTGGAATATTTCTACTTTAACTCATAACCTGCAGCTTGATGTCTCTTGGTTCCCCAAGTGTAGCTGAGACTGGCTGATTAAGACCCACCAACTTCCATAATATTTTCCACATTACTTCCATTCATTCACCAATCTGTTTAATAGGTATTTGAAAAATTTCTATTGTATCTGGCATGTGGTAGATTCTAGGTGTAAGACAAGACTTAATCTAGTAGTATGGAAGGTAGACAAGTAAAATGTCAAAATTAAATGGGATTGATGTGAAAAACAAAAATCTTTTTTTCTTTCTTTTTTTTTTTTTTTGGTGGTGCGGGGATCCAACCCAAGGCCTTCTACATGCAAGGCAAGCACTCTATCAATTGAGCTATATCCCCAGCCCCACAAAAAACACTTTTTTTTTTTTTACAATGGAGATCCAAAAGAGGAACTCTGACTCAGTTGTCAATGGTCTTAAGGAGTAAATGGGAAATATATAGTTATCCTTGTAAGTTTTTAAACGTACAGACATATTTTCTAAAAAGAGAATTATAACATACATATATGTTTTTAATACTTAACATATGGATTTTTTTTTTCATAGCAAAGAATATACTTCCACATAATTATATTTGGCTTTGGGGTTTTCCCACACAAGGTTGTATTTAAGAGGTCATCACTGGGAATTTGAGTTGTTTTTGATCTGAGTGTAGTACAATTTCAGTCAATGTTTATCATGTACTTAAACACATTCCTTCAGTTATTGTATGTACCAACTATTCCAGATAAGTTTTTTCCAAAGAAATTAAACATTAAATTTTCAATACTTGTAATGTTTTAAAGTATAGTATTTGTGTAAGTTTTGCATTCTTACGTTTCTCTGTACATTTAGAACTAACAGTACAAGTTGTCTTAATGTTTTGACTAACATTTTTAAAGGTCATTGAACATTGAAAATTTCCCTTTGGTTTTTAATATTACGATCATGTTTTGTGGTTTAGTTTGCATTGTTATTTTTAGGGTCTCCATTTACTGTGTAAAACAAGGACTGTGGATTATGATTAGGATTAACACAGTGAATAAATCTTTTGAGTAATGGTTAATTTTGAGAAGTGATTCACATCATGTCTGGCTTTATGTCACATAAAATATTCTGCTCTCTAACTTATTTGTAAGCATGACTGGTGCTTCTCCATAACACCTGGAACTGAGGCTTGAACCCAGAGAACTATATCATTGAGTTAATCCCCAGCCCTGTTTATATTTATTTGGAGACAGGCTCTCATTAAGCTGCTTAGGGGCTAGCTAAATTGCTGAGGCTGGCCTTTAATTTGTAATCCTACCTCAGTTTCTCAAATCACTGGGATTATAGGTATGTGCCACCACACTGGTTGCATGTTTTGATAAGGAGCATTGATAATATGAAATAGATTATTTATTTTATAGCATCTGTTAACTACCCAGAGGCTTTGATTCCTTAGGATCTTTGAATCTCTGCTATGGTGGGTCTACTTTTTTTTAAAATTATTATTATTTAGGAGGTAATTATTTCAGGGGTGTGTGTGTGTGTGTAGTTAGGATAGTTATTTGAAATAAAATTAGGTTTGCTAGTTTCTCAGTTTAATTTTTCACTAGAGAAATTTTCAAATACTTGTAAAAAGTAGAATAGTATAATGAATTTCCCATGTCTTTGTTCAGCTTAAACAGTAAACCTGCTACTGAGCAGGTATGCTTGCTTATATGAATCATGGAACGATGTATATTTAGAAAATATCAATATAATATATGTAGTGATAAAACTTATATATTCAATTTAAAAAATGCCAATGTTTTATTTGGGGCATATTGATTATAATTTTATGTTATTACATGTTCATTCTAATACTATTTTTTATTTACAGAACATTTTCACCAACCACTCTCTGGATATAAATGTAAGGTGGCTTGCTGTGCTATACTTTAAACATGGAATTGATCGTTACTGGAGACGTGTAGCCCCTCAGTAAGTTCCATCAATCCTCAGTGTAATGCTTTGCAGATGCAAGAAGTTAAAAGAATCTGTTTATGTAAAAGAATGTGTTAGTGCTTGCTTTGGCAGCACATACACTAAAATTAGAACAGTACAGAAAAGATTAGTATGGTCTTTGCATAAAGATGACATGGAATCCTGCAAAACATTTGATATTAAAAAATAAAATCTAAAAAAAAGTGTGTTAACTATTGAAGAACAGTATTCTTCATAGTTAATTACCATTCAACAGCCATAATATTATTTTTCTTCCTGGGTTTTATTCCTCTGTGAGCGTGTGTGTGTGTGTGTGTGTGTGTGTGTCTGTCTGTCTGTGTCTCTCTTTGTATTTTTGGCCTTATGAGTTGATCAGGCTGAGTGAATAAATCAAATTGAACAAAAGCCTTTTCTTTCCCTTTTAAAGATTCTTAATATTAAGATTTTTAAAAATGCTATTAAGAAGACAAACCCAACTCATTTCTGAACCATCTGAATAGTAATTCCTGAATATTATTCTTGCCTCTTTGGTAGATACATTTTTAAAAAAAAAAAACATGCATTTTTAATCTCAGACTCAATTGTAACTGATATGTAGGTGGTTAAATGAACAGATTTGTGTCCCCCTTATTTTATTTTTTTTTTCTTTTATTTGTGTTACTGAGGATTGAACCCAAGGTCTCAAGCATGCTAGGCCAGTGTTCTATCACTGACTTATATTCCCAGCCCCAGATTTCTCTTAATACTGAATTGTATGTTATATAATTGATGGAAAGGCAAGATAGACATGGCCTTGGAATTTATTTGATAGAAAATAATGAACTTGGGGCTGGGGTTGTAGCTCAGTAGTAGAGTGCTTGCCTCTCATATGTGAGGCCCTGGGTTTCATCCTCAGCATCACATTAAAAAATAAATAAATAAATAAATAAACAGACAAATAAAGATATTGTGTTCATCTACAACTTATATATAAACATATATAATATAAATGAATATGAAAATAATGAACTTTGCTAAAGAAATAATGTGATCTTCGTTTTCCAGTAGATGGCACTATAGCTCTGTAAATTCTTAAACCTTAAAAAATAGTAAAAGCTTACCTGAGATCTTCAGAGTGCATATAAAACATGCCCTTGAATAATATTGGAAACAACCAGAATATTTTCAGGCTGCAATTAGGATACTATAGTATGAAGAAAATACTTTTCATCTTATTTTAGAATTGACTCATAGTTTTGTGAGAAATGATGTAGAGTTGAGAAGCATTATTGGGTTATAGGAAATGTTTTAGCAGCACCTACATTACTGCTGCTTGTCCATTTAAATTTTACACATCTAAAATTAATTTTGTTTCACTGGTTATATGAATAATATACTTATCAATAACCATGTCAAAGAAAGAATAAATTATGATTAAATACCTCAGATTATACATTTGCTAAGCATGCTCTGTACTACTGAACTGTACCCCCCATTGAAGTTGCCTAGGGGTGCTTAGCCACTAAGTTACATCCCTGTCCTTTTTAAATTTTTTATTTTCAAAATAAAGTCTTGCTAAATTGCTAAGGCTGGTTTTGAACTCAGAATGCCATCTCCTGCTTCAGTCTCCTGAACTGCTGGGATTATAGGCATGCACCCTTCACCTGTTTGTTTATTTATTTTTAAAAAATTTTTATGGTGCTGGGGATCAAACCCAGGGCCTTATGCCTGCTAATCCGATGATTTACCATTGAGTTACATCCCCAGCCCTTAATTTAGTTTAAATTTAAGAAGTTAAGGGAGAACTCATGTAGTATTGAGTATTTAAATTCCAGGCTGTCTTTTCTTTTTTTAGTTGTTGATAGACCTTTATTTATTTATTTATATGCAGTGCTGAAAATCGAAACCAGTGCCTCACACATGCCAGGCAAGTGCGCTACCAGTGAGACACAGTCCCAGTCCCTCCAGGCTGTCTTTTAGTGTGTATTGAGATAAAAGCCAGAAAGGAGATGAATATACTTAGAAAGGGGGCAAAGATGGCAGATTAGTAATTGAACCTATATAAAATTAAGGTACTTACAAATATGCTTGTTTGTGTTCTTGTCTTAGTTTCATCCTATATAAATTCTTACTTTTGACCATTATTTTTACAGAATGAGAAGTAACTTAAGCTTATATATTACTACTATATACAATGAGATTTAACTGAATCCTAGTTAATTATATACTCTATAATTTCTATATGAGATACAAACTAAATTCATCTAATGGGTACATAAAATTTAAGGTGAAAAGTAAATAATTATCTACACATTTGCTAAAGACATGAGTTTTCTCCATGTTAATCATTGGATTCCTGTTTCTTTACTATCCATGTACTTTTTGCATGGTGTCTATTTTTGGTAGCTGATCATTATATTCTCTTATTTTAGTTAGAATTAAGAAAACTGATTAACCTGGTTCCTTGGCATAGAAGAAAACTTGAATTTCATCTTGAAGCAAAACATTATAGGAGAAAACATCAGCTCAGGGGTTTGATGATAAGAGGGAGCTATTAAAGTTGGAAAATACAGCATGGATATAAGATGATTAAAATAGTCATTTCTAATGGGAAAACATAGGTCTGCATTGGCCTCCTAAATGTTTACCTTAATCTTGCTTTCTCATTTCTTTACTAATCTTGAGCAAGTCACTCTTGTTATTTTAAAGAATTCTTATACTTTCGTAAGTATGTTATATACTTTCATATAACCTACTTAAAGGTACACAAATGAAGAGTGCAGTTAGAATGTTTGTAATGGAACACATCAATGGCTACCAGTTGGAACTAGCTAGAACACTACTAGCAATCAAAAAACTATTGCACATATGTACATTTTATTGCTTTCATGGTCAGATGTATATTCAGCTTTTGCAGGTACTGTCATTTGGTTTTCCAAACTGGTTGTGCCAATTTGCAATCCGGTTAGTAGCACATGAGTATTGGTGCTCATTCCACATTCTCATCAACATTTGATCTCAACTTTCATTTTTATCATTCTGGTAGGCTTGGGAATTTTAGTTTTCATTTTCCTGGTGAACCTTTTTTGTGTACTTATTGATTGTTTGGATGTTATCATCTTTTGTGAAGGGTCTGTGATATGCACATTTTAAAAATTTGGGTTATTTTTTTGATTTGTGGGACTTGATACTCATCTTAGGTGTTACTGCTTTATCATATATACCTATTGAAAATATCTTTTTCCACTTTTATCACTTGCTTTTTCATTATCTTAATGGTGTCTTTGTTTCTTTTTGCTGGGGGTAGTTTTGTTGTCTTTAACACCTTTGTTCTTAATTTTGATTTTGAGTCAGTATAGCTACCTATCTTTTATAATTAGTTTGTGACCTATTTATGACATTTTGCTCAACCAACAATTAAGAAAATACTGTGTCTTCTGGTACACTTGGTTTACTTTACTCATTTTGCTCTATGATCTTTCTGGAATTGATTTCTGTACAAGATGCATGTTTGAAGTAGGGGCTGTACCATGTATTCTTTTACTATTGAATTACATTAGTACTATTATTATTCATTAGGCACTTTGTGTGGTGCTGGTTTGGATTCTCTAATTTGTCTAGTTGATGTTTTTGTCTCTTATTAAGACTTAATGTATTTTCTTTTACTTTTGGATTTAATTTGCTGTTCTTTTTCTAGCATCTTCAAGGTGGAATGTTAGATAATTGATTTTGTTTTTCTAAAGGTTGCATGTCCTTTAGAAACATTTTCTTTTTTTCTTACGTTGCATGTCCCTTATTAGGAAATCCGAAGTGTTATAAAACCTGAAACTTTTTGAATGCCAACATGACACCTTAATGTGGAAAATTTTATACCTGATCTCTGTAGTGGTGGGTCTCACTCAAAACCTGGGCACACTAAGAAAGAAATATTGTATAAAATTACCTTCACACTGTGTGTATGAGGTATATATGGAACATAAATAACTATCATGTTAGACTTGGGTCCCCAGATAACTTATATTATGTGTATACAAATATCTCAGTATCTCAAAATCGTAAATCTGAAAGAGTTCTTGTTTCAGGCATTTCAGATACGAGATGTTCAATCTGTATACACATTTTAGAGCTTTAAGACTCTTCTTATAATTGTAACTTTTAGTTCAGCCTTTTGTGTGTGTGTGTGTGTGTGTGTGTGGGTGTGTGTGGGTGTGTGTTGGGGATTGAACCCAGGGCCTTTTGCATGCCAAGCACATGCAGTACCACTGAGCTACAGTCCCAGCCCTTGGTTAAAAATATTTTAAAAAGATCTTCTGTGGTTTATTTTAAGATGTATAGGTTAATTAGAAGTATGTTGCCTTGTGCCTTGTTTCCAAAAAACCTTTTAGTTCTTTTTTGGTTACTGTTTTCATTATTTAAAATGTGCTGTGTTGTTTTGTGATCGAGCATGTGGTATTTTGGTACATATGCACTTGAATGTGTGTGTGTATTTGTGGATTTTACTATTTTATGTGTCTCAGCTTGAATTTGTGAATTGTACTATTCAACTGGTCTGTGTTTCTTTGATTTTCAGCTTCTTTTTTCTTTCGGTTATTGAGATGTGTTAATATTTAAATATAATTATCCACTTGCGTATTCTTTTTCTTGTAATTTTGCTTTCTGTATATTTGAGGCGCTTAGGATCATATAAATTCAGGGTTGTCAGATTTCTACTGAATTGACCTTGTCATAATTATGAAATTTTTTTCTTTATCTCTAGTAATAAGTTTTGACTTAACGTCTAGTTTGTCTGACATTAATAGAGCCACACCAGCCATCTTGTGGTTAGTATTTGCATGTTATACCCTCTTTTGCCTTTTTCTTTCAATGTTATTTTGTTGTTGTTTTGTTTAAAATGTGTATCTTACAAATAAGTTGGATTTTGTTTTGTATCTGGTATAATAAATGTTTTAGTTTTAGTATTACATTTGTTTACATTTAATATAAATACTGATATAGTTTGGTGTAAATCCACCCTTTGTTTCCTGTTTATCTCTGATCTTTGCTGTTTTTTTCTTTCTTTCTTGCCTTTCTTTGGATTATTCAAGAAACTTATATTAGTCCCTCTGTTTAAAAGCTTGTTGAGCACACTTTCATTTCTCAAGTGATTTTCCTACAGATAACATGTATCCATGATTTATTAGAGACTGTCCTTATGTTAGTACTTTA